AAAATCTTTCATCATAAATTGCATTAAACTATTCCTTACTCATTTACATACTGTGGCTAAGCTAAGCTACTTTCACCCTTCATGATGTCAAACTTTTGATCAGCCAGCTAGGAATACTGGGAGTCTCACCTGATTGGTTAGAAAGTTCACTACCAATTATTATTTTTAATTTGGTCTTTTTTTTCTTTATTATTATATATATTTAGTTAAATGTAACCCAGGCTTAAAGAGTACAAATAAATAATTAAATAAAAGAGATGAAAGAAAAAAATGTGTTTGAGTGGCAGTGAGAGATACATGTAAAATGTCATATGCCAATGCTAATCAGTTAGCTTTTGTGTTGTGAAAAATGTAGTATTTATTCAGGCTTTTTCTGATCTGTAAGAGCAAAAGTTTGACACCATGAAGGGTGAAAGTAGCTTAGCTTAGCAACAGTATGTAAATGAGTAAGGAATAGTTTAATGCAATTTATGATGAAAGTTTTTCCTCTTTTGTTAATTTCACTCTTTTGTGGCGTCACACAGAACTTCAGTGTTTCATAGTGCAGTTATTACAGTAAAGTGTCCTATATTGTCTAATCAATAAAAAGTACAACAGTAAATTGATAAAGAAGATCTTTAACCTTTTTTGTAGTACAAAAGAGCTAATGGAAAATTGTGAATAAAAACAGATGTTATTTTAATACTTGGTGTTAAATGCTTAAATTGAGATGAAGCCTGTGTTGATGCTGACGTGCGTGTTTATCTTTATAGGGGTGGTGTGACCTGTCTGTAGGTCAAGTTTTGGTAAAAGGCGGATTTTGGGCTCATCCAGAAGACCATCCAGCGACAAGAGCATCCACCATAGAACTGTGAGCAGCTAACTGGATAGTGAGCCCAACCTTCAAGACCTCAAGTGGGATTAAGAAGACTGTTTCTTCTAAGGAAGAACTTCCTTTGCTACTTCATAGAACACAGAAACACAGATTAAACAGAAACACAAACCTGGATTGAACCCCAACGAAAAAGACTGGGATTAGACACTTCAAATGTTTGTTTTATTTCATGTGCACACTTTATTGATTTAGTTGTTAATTGTATTAGTAAATTGTATATTGTAATCTTGACCTGCAATATTCGTGTTCCTTACATACAAAGTTTGAAAATGTATTCCTGTGTGCGCCTCTTGACTGGTATTCAGACCTTGGGCTCCAGGTGTCCTAGTCTTCGGCTGTTTGTCCACCTTTAACACTTTATTTACAGTAACATGGGTTAAAAACAACTATGCTTTTTCCCTGAATTTGATCAGATATGTTGGTAGCTATGACACACCAAATGTTTTCATAATGTTGTTTACAGTTAACGTTAAAGATAATTATTGTATTTGTACTAGCATTTTTTTTTTCAAAAACTGTTTGAGTGGAAGTTCAATAGGCCTCCTTTTTGTTTCTGTGTTTACTTGAAAGTTGGACCCTGTTCCCACTGAGCTGTTAATAAGTGAATAATAAAGTATTTATTAACCTTTATAAGCAGTGTTCCCACTTTAGATCCAGTACCTGCAGATGAGCTTTAGTAACTGTTAATAAGTGCATAATAAAGTATTTATTAACCTTTATAAGTAGTGTTCCCACTTTAGATCCAGTACCTGCAGATGAGCTTTATTAACTGTTAATAAGTGCATAATAAAGTATTTATTAACCTTTATAAGTAGTGTTCCCACTTTAGATCCAGTACCTGCAGATGAGCTTTATTAACTGTTAATAAGTGCATAATAAAGTATTTATTAACCTTTATAAGTAGTGTTCCCACTTTAGATCCAGTACCTGCAGAGGAGCTTTATTAACTGTTAATAAGTGCATAATAAAGTATTTATTAACCTTTACAAGGCATTAATATGAACCTAATAAAATCTTCAATGTCAATAAACATCTTATCAACGTTGATAAGTGGTCTATAAACGAGTTTCTTTGTGTTAATTAATATCTTACAAGCCAATTATAAATTAATTTATAGTTTAATTAACACTCATGAAGTCTTATTAATGTTAATAAACATCTTATTAATGTTCATGACAGTATATAAAGTGTTAGTACATTTCTAATAAGAGTCTATAAGTGTCTTATAAGACATAATAAATGTGTTAATTATGCCTATCTTAACACTTATATAGTCTTATTTGTGTTAATAAGAATCTAACGAGGCCTTATAAGTGACTTATTACCTGTTATTAATGCTTATTACAAGCACCTTAATATAAAGTGTTACCTCATCTGTGTCAACGAGCGCAGAAGAAACACACATCAAGTTTTATAAACATTTAAAATGTCTGATTCTTCAAATATTGGTAATTGATCATAAATTATCCTGTGTGACTCATCAGAACTCTTCGAATGTAAACATTTAAAAACATGTGACAGCTGTGTGTGCAGCAGATCTAATTAATCCCTTTAGTTCAGATCAAAGGATCCATTCAGGCTGAGTGATCCAGGTTTATGTCTGTTCATCATGAGTCTGGTTCTGATCCAGGTTTATGTCTGTTCATCATGAGTCTGGTTCTGATCCAGGTTTCTGTCTGTTCATCATGAGTCTGGTTCTGATCCAGGTTTCTGCCTGTTCTAGATGAGTCTGGGTCTGATCCAGGTTTCTGTCTGTTCAACATGAGTCTGGTTCTGATCCAGGTTTCTGTCTGTTCATCTTGAGTCTGGTTCTGATCCAGGTTTCTGTCTGTTCATCTTGAGTCTGGTTCTGATCCAGGTTTCTGCCTGTTCAACATGAGTCTGGTTCTGATCCAGGTGGGAGTCCTCGGTCTGACCCTGCTCTGTTGTTGTTATTTGTCTCTACATATAAAGGTTGATTGGTTGTAATATAAAGCAGCAGTCGTGTTAAATCCAGTAGTTTTATTGGACTGCAGGTAAAGAATCTACAGAGTTCATCAGAACACAACAAACAGTCTTACCTTGAAGTTCTGGTTCGGTTCTGGTTCCTGTGTGCGCCTCTCTGCTCCGTCCTGTATGAAGTCCACAGACAGACTGCAGTGTCTCTGTCTCTGCGTCTGCTCCACTTCTTATTGAATCTATTCTCACCCTAAAGCAGATTATTACCTGTAATCTCATGAAGCTCAGGTGATGTCAGCGCCAGGAGGCTGGAGTGCTGAATGAGGACCTGGTTGAGGACTGTTTGCAGCTTTACCGGCAGATGGGAGTGCTGCACCCGCAGCGAGTAGGTTCCTGGTTTGACAGGAGCCTCTCTGTGAGGAGGTTCCTGGTTTGAATCCCCGTCCTTCAGGAGTCTCTCTGTGAGGAGGTTCCTGGTTTGAATCCCCGTCCTTCAGGAGTCTCTCTGTGTGGAGGTTCCTGGTTTGAATCCCCGTCCTTCAGGAGTCTCTCTGTGAGGAGGTTCCTGGTTTGAATCCCCGTCCTTCAGGAGTCTCTCTGTGTGGAGGTTCCTGGTTTGAATCCCCGTCCTTCAGGAGTCTCTCTGTGAGGAGGTTCCTGGTTTGAATCCTCGTCCTTCAGGAGTCTCTCTGTGTGGAGGTTCCTGGTTTGAATCCCCGTCCTTCAGGAGTCTCTCTGTGTGGAGGTTCCTGGTTTGAATCCCCGTCCTTCAGGAGTCTCTCTGTGTGGAGGTTCCTGGTTTGAATCCCCGTCCTTCAGGAGTCTCTCTGTGAGGAGGTTCCTGGTTTGAATCCCCGTCCGACGGGAGTCTCTCTGTGAGGAGGTTCCTGGTTTGAATCCCCGTCCTTCAGGAGTCTCTCTGTGAGGAGGTTCCTGGTTTGAATCCCCGTCCGACGGGAGTCTCTCTGTGAGGAGGTTCCTGGTTTGAATCCCCGTCCTTCAGGAGTCTCTCTGTGAGGAGGTTCCTGGTTTGAATCCCCGTCCTTCAGGAGCCTCTCTGTGAGGAGGTTCCTGGTTTGAATCCCCGTCCTTCAGGAGTCTCTCTGTGAGGAGGTTCCTGGTTTGAATCCCCGTCCTTCAGGAGCCTCTCTGTGAGGAGGTTCCTGGTTTGAATCCCCGTCTGACGGGAGTCTCTCTGTGTGGAGGTTCCTGGTTTGAATCCCCGTCCTTCAGGAGTCTCTCTGTGTGGAGGTTCCTGGTTTGAATCCCCGTCCTTCAGGAGTCTCTCTGTGAGGAGGTTCCTGGTTTGAATCCCCGTCCTTCAGGAGTCTCTCTGTGTGGAGGTTCCTGGTTTGAATCCCGTCCTTCAGGAGTCTCTCTGTGAGGAGGTTCCTGGTTTGAATCCCCGTCCTTCAGGAGTCTCTTTGTGAGGAGGTTCCTGGTTTGAATCCCCGTCCTTCAGGAGTCTCTCTGTGAGGAGGTTCCTGGTTTGAATCCCCGTCCTTCAGGAGTCTCTCTGTGTGGAGGTTCCTGGTTTGAATCCCCGTCCTTCAGGAGTCTCTCTGTGAGGAGGTTCCTGGTTTGAATCCCCGTCCGACGGGAGTCTCTCTGTGAGGAGGTTCCTGGTTTGAATCCCCGTCCTTCAGGAGTCTCTCTGTGAGGAGGTTCCTGGTTTGAATCCCCGTCCGACGGGAGTCTCTCTGTGAGGAGGTTCCTGGTTTGAATCCCCGTCCTTCAGGAGTCTCTCTGTGAGGAGGTTCCTGGTTTGAATCCCCATCCTTCAGGAGCCTCTCTGTGAGGAGGTTCCTGGTTTGAATCCCCGTCCTTCAGGAGCCTCTCTGTGAGGAGGTTCCTGGTTTGAATCCCCGTCTGACGGGAGTCTCTCTGTGTGGAGGTTCCTGGTTTGAATCCCCGTCCTTCAGGAGTCTCTCTGTGTGGAGGTTCCTGGTTTGAATCCCCGTCCTTCAGGAGTCTCTCTGTGAGGAGGTTCCTGGTTTGAATCCCCGTCCTTCAGGAGTCTCTCTGTGAGGAGGTTCCTGGTTTGAATCCCCGTCCTTCAGGAGTCTCTCTGTGAGGAGGTTCCTGGTTTGAATCCCCGTCCTTCAGGAGTCTCTCTGTGTGGAGGTTCCTGGTTTGAATCCCCGTCCTTCAGGAGTCTCTCTGTGTGGAGGTTCCTGGTTTGAATCCC